GCTTTTACCAGTTTGTGAAGATCATCTAGGAGTTTTAGAGGGAGTTCCAGCCTCTGTCTGTGTTGCACAGCAGAACACCGGATACCGTTGAGGTTTTTGGAAAGGATGTTCACAAATCACGTGTGTCGTTATGGAGAATGACAGAGAGATGTGTTGGGTTTTGTGTCTGTTGTATTTGAAATTTACTTGCTTGTGATGATCCTGCCCATTTGCTGATAAATTGAAGGAGGCCTTTAAGAGGGAAACAAACAGAAGATGAAACCATAATAAAGGTACAGCCATGTCCCAGACAATATCAAGAGTCCTTATGTAAATAGTGGTGGAGTCATTCATTGGAAAATTCTACCCACCTGACTTTTTGCTCCTGGGTCCCAAGTGTGAATGACAGCGGTTACATGTTGCAGCGTGGCGAGGAGAGGCAGCTCACAGCCTGTAGATTTGGAATGCAGCTGGATTTATTAATTTACCGTGGTAAATGTGAGGTGGCAACACCAACCCCAGCTGAAAGTGGCAAGTCCTCAGGGCCACATGGTTTTATCCAGAAGGGCTACCTGGGTCTGGCATGCCTGTGCCTAGGATAGGAGTGTCTCTGAAAACTCTCAGTGAACACCCTCTGATATTAAATTAGGAAGAGCTTTGGGAAGGATGGCTCTGTCACGCTTGCTGCTTTTCCTGCGGGTGCTGTAGAAGCCACTCTGTCATGTTACGGTTGCATACGATCAGGTTTTTTGATGAGCTTTGTCACTTCCAAGAGCAGAATATATTTCAGCAACCTTAAAATGCCAGCACTTAGTGTAACAGCTGGGTCATACTGCAGCTACTGCCAGGAACCCAGCTGCCCGTTTGGAAGGAGGGATAGAGAAGACGTGTCATTTTATGAAGAGTTACAGTGGGGATGATTTTTACCTGCTAGTGAAAAATTATGAGTGCAGCTTTGTTACCACCGTTTGCTGCTCGAGCGTTTATCATCCCTGGCTTTATGCATTTTATTCTCTGTCTGAAGAGCTGCTGGCTACAAGTAACTGGTAATCTCTTGGTTTTTGCTGGTATCTCTTAATTCTACATGTTCTCCTTTCCTTCTGTGTGTGTGGTCAGGTGCAGGCTGTGCACGTTAGCGCGGCACGCGTATGCTTTATGCCAGAGGCCTTTTGTGCTTCGGGTAAGAGTTAAAAAAAGCAATCGTGTGCGATGTGTCATGGGCTTGTGGTAATTACAAGCCAATAACATGAATTTTTTACGTGGGAGCCTGCAGACTTGTCTCTTGTGCTGCAGCGGCATGCCTGGGCAAACCTGCGGCCGGGCCCGAAGCCTGTGGGACAGGATTAAACCCGGTTAGATTGTTGTTCTGGGGAGGAAGAAGATTTACCTCGAGCAACGTCCAGTTAGGAATTTGGAGTTAGACACAATCCTCGTGCAGTCTGAGGGTGTTAAAACACCCGGCAGCGCCGTGGCTGTGCCACAACCTGTGGTGAGTCGACCAGGTCTCCCGATTTTGCTGCTCTGAACTTTCCAGGCAGACAGCACAACAGTCCCTTTAATGCTGAGGTGACTCCTCTGTAAAACCAAAATCTCTGTAAAGATTTTAAATTGCCTTTGCAAGAACTGCCCTCTCTTGGAGGCAGGGAGATAAAAGGTGGGTATGCAAAACATCACCAAAAAAAGCGCTCCCCAAGTTTTTAAGACTTGGCGGCACATCGGTAGCCTCGATGGAGTCGTGAAGTTACCTGGTTTGGGGTTTCTGGTATTTTAAAATGTAATTAATGGGCGTGTTCAGTGTTAAAAAGCTGCTGCTCACAAACAGTAACTCTAAAACCTCACAGCACGGCCACGTTTGTACACCCATAACTGGGCCCTGACTCACAAAGCTGCTGGAGCTCCTGGGAGAAGCTGGGTCCAGGAGCATCATGTGGCGGCTTCAAATGCACACGTGTGCGTTCCAGATACCCTTATCGCTCTGGAGCAGGGTGCCATGCTCCAGCTGCCAGGGTTGGTGGGGCTTTTAGTTTGTTTGTTTTCTTTAAATTTACCAGCTGGAGCACAATTCTGGTGGGCGGTGTCAGTGGGAAGTTTCACTTCTCTGGTCTAGGAGAAGCCTGAAGGCAGTCCCTTGTGTGGTTTAGAGCTGAGATTTCTCAGAGTTAGAGGTGAGACGAAAGATTTTTGGAAGAGAGAGGCGAGATACCGGAAATTACTTCCCCTCTGCTTTTATTACAACAGCATGGAGCTTCACGAAACTGGCACCATTTCGCAGCAGCCGGAGAGGCCAAGAGCATCGTCTCCTTCTCTTCTCTTACCTTTTGGCCACCCCTGAAACCTGAGAGAAGCTTATGCCCTGTGACACGGTGCAGGTTTCGGGTGGCAGCACAAAGCCCTCCGTGAGACCGATGCTGGTGGAAGGAGCGCATGTGAATGAAGAATGGGAATGGGAATGGTTGCAAGTGGCAACAGGGCAGGTTTAGGCTGGACATGAGGAGGAAATTCTTCACAGAAAGAGTGGTCAGACACTGGAACAGACTGCCCAGGGAGGGGGTTGAGTCGCCATCCCTGGATGTGTTCAAGTGTCACTTAGATGTGTTGGGTGATGTGGTTTAGGGGTGACCTTGTAGTGTAGGGTCAATGGTTGGACTCGATGATCCCAAGGGTCTTTTCCAACCTGAATTGTTCTGTGATTCTATGAAAAGCACTGTGAGGGCACAGTGTGCTCCCGGCTGCTCTGAAAACGATCTTGCTTTAAACGTGATCTTCAGTCGGTCACAGTTAACCTCCTTGGTGTAATTGCTGCTAATAGGCCCCCCCTGCAGAGATCGATGACAACGAGGCAGCAGCAGAGCAAGAAGCAGGGAAGGGGATCACACGTTGAGCCTTGCTTTTATTTTACTTTGTATGCTCCTTCTGCCAGATCCTTGTCAATGCTTTTAGCACTTGCTGTGGTTGATTGTTTGAATGCCACAGCGTTATTTGAAGTTTAATTGCTCTGCTAGCTGTAAGACCCTGGTTTAATGCATGTTTTCTGTAAGTTTGCAGAAGGTACAGGGTTGTTGGCGACAGTGAGGGTCACTACGAATTGTGTAGCTGGGGCAGAAGGAGGAGGAGGAAGCTGCAGGGAGTGTGGCACTTCATTCCCCAAAAAGTATTTGCATGAGCAAACACAACTTCCCAGTCTCCTGGTCCTTGCCTCAGCCTTATGTGTGTGCCAGTAGAGAAGTTGGATCTCGGCCCCAAACCACGTAACCTGGAGATTCGTGCAACGAAAGGGAGTAGCAGAGCAAGTATGTCAGGGCAGTGTGTTTCTGACAATATACTGGAAAGCTGCCTTGAGAGCAAGCCATGGAAAAGCGAGGCACTGGAAACACATGGAAATAATAAGAGGTTTCTATAAAAAGTAAGAATGTAATGAAATCCTGTTGTGCCTGTAGAGTCACAGCTCTCTACGCAGCGTCGCTGGCTGTGCGTCCTTGTTTGAAAAGGAGTGAGACGGGAGAAGATGGTTGCACCGGGAGGTTTTTTCTGAAGCCTTTTCTGTAAATGCTGTTAGTGTTAACAGGGGTACAGAAAGAGGACGGTGTAATGCAAAAAAAACCCACCACAATAAAGCAAAAACTGGTAAGAGAATTGTTAAGATTGGAAAAGACCTCCAGGATCATCTAGTCCAACTGTCTACCCAACACTACATGACCACTAAACCATGTTCTGAAATGCCACATCTGCACGTTTTTTTTAACATCTCCAGGGATGGGGACTCCACCACTGCCCTGGGCAGCCTGTGCCAATGCCTCACCACTCTTTCAGTAACGAAATTTTTGCTAATATCATGATATGGAACAGGCAGGGGCTGCGTATAGGTGTGGTGCATCCCGCCAGAGTTTTCTGGCTCTTTTCCTTCATGCTTTTGGTTATCTTCTTTAAATTGCAGACACAAAGGGCTGATGGTAATGTATTTTCTAGTAGCCAAAATCCCATAAAACCTATGTGTTTGCTTTAAATGGGGAGCGTGGTGGGGGTGGGGATGTTTTGGTTTTTGTTTTCTCTGCTGCTTGGTTATATGAAGTCATGTGCTGATATTTTAACACTCATTTCAGACACGGTCATAGATAGTCTCTTTCTAAATATGATAAGGGCACGGTAATCTGTGGAACCAGTCTGTGCCTGAATCTTAAACTAGGGACTGCAAGCAGCTATGAATTAGAATTAGAAGGCAGAATTCCTTCTGTAAAAAAACATCTTGGCTTTCTGGCAGAGATGCTGTTCCCTGTTTTCCGGCTCTATTTCAGTCTGGGTGGTTTCTGCTGGGCAAGTCCCTGAAGTCTCCCATTCGACAAAAGGCAGCGAAATAAACTCTCGGAGGGTTGGATGATGTTGGGGCCAAATTGCTCCAGCTCAGCCAGCCCCTGGCTTTGCCTGGCTCTCCGAGTTTCTCAGCATTCCATCCTGTCCTGCCACCTAGGTGCGAAGGAGCAGGCAAAGACCAGCCCTGTGCTCTCTCCCCGTGTCCTTAATGTGCATGATTTGAAAGCACATTTGCATCCTTTTACTATTCTATGTCAGAAAAACCCCTCTCTCTGTGAAATACATCCTTGCATCAAAAATATTATATAACACATTCATTTTAAACTCCGTGATCTGACTTCATAAAGGGTAGAACATTTATTTTCAGCGATTTAACAGCTTTAGGACTACGTTTAATTAAATATCCAGTGCTGAGTAGTTTAGAACCTTCTCTCTTTGGAAGGAGAGAGGCAGCACAAGTGACCTGCCAAGAGTTGAGTTGTGTGTCATTTTAAGTGGATGGGTCTTTGAAAGCACGTGGCTACGTTGTGTTTCTCTGACAGATACTTCAGCATTCTAAAGTTCAGCTTTCTAAAATTACACGATGGTGGTCATTTTATTTTCGCTGTGTAATCGCTGCTAGAAAAATGAAATGTAGAGAATTTAAAAATGGCTTGCTAATTGACTGCTGTGGTTTTGTTCTTTGTCATTTTTTTGTGTGTCTCCAGATCAGTCGTATTATCACCGACTGCATCACGACATGTATTTTCTTATAAGCAATAGCCGACTGAATGAGCAAGTGGTGGATAAAATTGTTCTTCAGCTTAACAGAGTCTACCCCCAAATTCTTACCGACACAGAAGCAGAAAAGGTAATTTGATGAATTTTTCTTTCTCTCTGAATGTTGCATTGTTATTGCGGGTCAGTGGCTCAGCTGCCCTCTACCCAGCCTGGCTCTTGGTGCCACTCGCAGCCCGTCCCCCTCGCCTGTTACTCGCTGACCGGTGGTATCTGGGACCTCATAACGGAGGAGAAGTCACAGGGCTGGCACGTTCCCCGTGCCAGGCCGTTAGGAGAGAGGACATTCTCTTCAGCGGCAGCTTAATGCTGTCCCTACCGTGACATCCCATGCTGTGTGTGCCAAGTCCGTTGCCAGGCCGTTAGGAGAGAGGACATTCTCTTCAGCGGCAGCTTAATGCTGTCCCTACCGTGACATCCCATGCTGTGTGTGCCAAGTCCATTTTAGGTTTGCCTCACATTTTTGTGCGTTCTTTCAGAAAGTATAAGCCCAGTTCTGTATCCTTACTCGCTGTTAAACTGTGATGTAAAACTGATCCCCAGCTGTTGTCACCTCCCCTGATGAGTGCTTTTCTCTTACAGTTCCGGAATCCAAAGGCATCGCTCCATACTAGACTTTCAGATCTGATAAAGCACCTTCAAAAGAAAGGAGACAGACACTGTCAAGAGTTTTACAGGGCTCTACAAATCAATGCTGAACAGATCTATAATGATCTGCCAAGCAGGAAAGTCCTGAGTAAGTTGATTTGTAAGTTGGTTGAGTCATGGATCTCCTCATCAATGTATTACAAAACCTCATTTCAGATGAATTTTAGGTTATTTAAATAACCCATTTATCTTTCCAGGTCATTTAAATAATTTTGGGGGTACAACTTTAATTCTTTCTGACTGGAATTTTCCAAAAGCTGTAAGGACATTTGACTCCACAGTTGTTATTTGTTGACTAGGGTGGGCAGCCCAAAACTCTTTGATTGTTTTGAAACATGAAATGTGTCTTTGAAACAGTTTAAGTGCAACACAGAAGACAGTGATATAACTCCTATGAAGTGCAGTTTCTCTTTTTGTAATGATTGCTTCCTAACAGCTTGTTTATTCCCTCTGTGTTTATTCTGACTTGAAGCATTTAAGAACGTTACAAACCTCAAATTTGTTAAGCTCCAAACTCCGGTGGCCCAGAAGCTTGGCTTTCCCTCAATCCAGAAATCTCCTAGTTTAACATGAAGCAAACGTTCTTAGGCCCTTGTGATGATGAGCTGTGGTATTGATCACTTAGGGCTTGTTTGGGAGCAGCTGACAGGCTCAAACTTCCTCGTTTCAGGGAAAAGTATCAAGCCTGACTTGCCAACTTGAGTTAATGCTCACTAGGCGTTGGCGTTTCTTTTTTCTTTTTATTTTTGTTTAACCTACCTAATGAACTGAAGGAAAGAGCAATGTCTCAAATGGGTGGCAAATATGTTCAGGCATCCTGCCTACCAAAATGCTTTGAGGAGCTCAAGGAAAAGCTCCGCATTTAAGTTAATGAAGTTGCAAAGGGACTGCACTTGAAGAAATCCCTGTAAAGTATCTAACAGCACTAATGCTTTGCCAGTCAATTGATTTCTAGTTGTAAAAAAACTCCACAGTTCAGCTCCAGGGGTAATTTTAGACACGTGGGTCAAACCCCAGTGAGATTCAAACGGTTGTACCAAAATCCCCTTGGTTTAAGAGAAGCAGTTGGACCTCTTTTGTTTCTGGAGTGAAAATAGCATATAAAAATTGTAATTATACTTGAAGATGCTGCTTCGTCTGCTTTTCATTTTGAAGGAAGAGGGTTGTGTCTACCCAGTGCTGGGTACTGCACCGTACTCCTGCCTGCGCAGGGAGCCCGCAAAGGTCCCCCAGATCTCCGCATCCGTACTCCAACCCTCTTGAACCTGGAAAGTCCAGGCCTGTCCCTGCCTCAGAATCTCAAATGAGCAGGAATCCCTATGGATTCAGCCTGGGCAGCACTCTGATCTGATACCTTGCAGAAGTCGTTCCCTTTGAGGTTAACAGGCTCTTCAACAGTCTTGGATCTATGGTTTTTGGTCAGGTAGAGCTCAGGGGTACCAGGTTTTTCTGCCAGGCTGACTGGAAGGCAGGAGACAGCCTTTATTAATTGAGTGACGTAAGAAGTCTTAGTGTCATCACTGAGAAGAAAATCTCAAGAGTTTGTTGATGGTTTAAGCTCTGTTAAAGTTCAATAACACCTTCTACAAGCCATTTCTGAAAATGAAGGGAATAATGAGATAATTGTGATGATATATTTGCTGTTCCTTGTGAGGTCCATAACTAAGACAAATGCCTGCATTCTGGATTGGATGGTCGATGTGTATCTGTACCACGTTTTAAGCTAGAAGCACAAACAATTTTATTCTTCAGGAAAAGCTCCCTTTTCAGTATGAGCTGTTATTTCCACTGAACTTAACTTGAACATTTTGAATATTAAAGGCATTAATTATCCTCTAGGCTTCTAAAGGTCGGACTTGATGACCCTGGAGGTCCTTTCCAACCATAATGATTCTGTGATTCTGTAACGTACAATTTTTACATTACTTGTTAAATTTGTCAAATTTGGCACAGAGCATTTACAGAATTGACACTAGACGAGTTTGTAAATTTGAGGAAAAAAGGGAGATTCGTAACATGGGGACTTGGTTCTAAATGCAGATCGAACTGAGACAAGCAGCGTTATAGCACCTTGAAAAATTATTGGTGAGGACACTGATGAACTGTGGCCAGGCCAGAGTTCTGTAATGGATTATGTGCAGCTGTACATTAAAAAAAATTGTTTCTACGGAGGGAATCCTTTCGCAGTTCTTTTTTTTTTCATTTTTAAAACAACTTTAAAAATTGTACTAGAACAGAGTATAAGATTGCAAGTGAAATATTCAGTAATGTCTTGAATTCCCACTAGAGGGTGGGGGAGGCACACGGCAGCTCTGAAAGTCAAACAGGATCTTCCAAAGGACTCGGAAAGCATTTTTCTCTCAATGCTGACATGGACTAGAAGGATAAAGGATCAGACTCAGCCCCACACGGTGACAGCCGGACAAGAGGGTGAGATTTAGCTGTGGTCTCCTGTGATGTGTGAGGGTTTCGTCGCTCGCGTCCATAGAATTAGTGGATGGTTTGGGCTGGAAGGGACCTTAAAGACCATCTTGTTCCAAACCCCCTGCAGGGACACCTCCCAGCAGCCCAAGTTGCTCCAAGCCCCATCCAGCCTGGCCCTGAACACTTTCAGGGAGGGGACATCATCTTCTCTGGGCAACCAGTTGCAGTGTCTCACCACTCTCCCGGTGAAAAAGTCCTCCGTGGGGAGGACCTCTCTCCACGGGGCCAGGCTGTTGGTACAGAGTGGAGGCTTCACAGCAATCCTTTCTGCTTCAGGGACTCTCAAGCTTTGCAGCAAGGACCTCAGAAGTTTCTCTTCCACTTGAAGGCCGTGTCCCGTCACCTTGCTGAGAGGGACGTGTTCGGCGTAGGAGATGGATGTGTTGGAGGACAGCAGGGCCCCTTTGCTGACTTGGTTTTCCAAGGCACCTCACCGAGCTCCAGGGAAGAGCTGTGGAAATAGAAATGCGCTTGAAACCGAACAGTCCCAAATTCTTCCCTATTGAAAGCCGCGTTTGGAGCTCTCATTTCTTTTTTTTTCCCTAACCCTCCTGACCATGAAGAGATTCAGCTAAAAAAGTTAGACTTTTGTAGAACAAAAGGAAAGTCATTCCTCTGCCATTGTGGTGACAGTAGAGGTCTTGGTGTCGCACACACCTTCTGGCGACCACGTTACCTCTGCATCTAGTTGACAAAGGTGCCTCTAAAAGCGGTGCAGGTTTTCTGCCCAAAGCAGAAACTGCTTTCTTGCCTCTAACTACTAAACACCTTGCTTTTAAGGTCAACCTCCTTTTCTGCCAGAATTTGCAGAACAACAGAGGCAGAAATTATTTATAGCAAATGTTAACATGTAGTACTGACAGACTTTTGAAGAATCTGAGACCAGAATTTTGATAAATCACCTGCACCAAGCAGTTTGTTCCAAGCGCTTCACCTGCCGGATACGTTAACACCCGGAGATTTGTTCAAGAGCAGAAAGAATGGCGACGCATTAAATTATTAGGGGTGTTCTCAGATTGTTCTCAGATTAGCGCGTGATGTTAGCAAAGAGTTTGTGTTTATTCCGATGACAATTTCTGGCATGACGGAAGGATTAGCTCCTGCTCTCCTCGCTTGGGAAACGAGTGTGATGGTATCACGGGGTTAGGGCCTGCCCAGACAGAGGTGTCGCCACAGCTGGTTCTGGTTGTGTTCAGATGAGTTTGATCAAGTTCTATCTTTAACGGATATATATATTTAAGTATAGCAATGCTTTACTTTTGGAGGGGTTAATGTTTCCTGTCAAAATGGGATATTTTTCTGAACTGCGTGTTGTGTACAATTTTGCATGTGCTGGTTATGTTTGCTGGAGCCGAGTACTAACTTCTCATGTGTTGCTTTTATTTCTAGAAACCCCAGATTCCGCAGGGATAGACACTGACAAGGAGAAATATGTACTAAATGACAGGGGTAAATAAACGCGCACAGTGTTGCTGGATGGAATGGGTTCTCAGATTATGATGCAGTTTGTTTTATCATGTAATTTGCATTTCGTGGAACAAACAGTTTGGTTTATGATGTCTTTACTGGCACAAGTTAAGTGGAGTTAATGGAGGGGAACATACTGAGCTGCTGTTGAGGAAACCTGTGCCAGGGAATTCGAGGGACCATAGAGCTTAATCAATATTTTACAATGGTGTTTTTATTTACACTGTTACAGAGAAACTCTTAATTTCCTATTATTTCTCCAGTGCTTGTCTAGTAAGGCCTATTCAGGTGCTGCTGCTGTCATTTTGCGTAAGACCAACAATAATTTTTTTAATGTAACTTCCAAATTTTTAATTTTTTTTTAAGGTCTTAATTTAAGTACAAATCCTTTGAAAACAAAGACAGCAAGGAAGATGAGCAAGGGTTTAAAGGGGTTTTTGCACAAAGTTTTAGAGTGAGAAAACGCCTAAGAAAGCTTCCACTTAAATTTCAGAGGATACAGCTAGATGAGCAGAGGTGAGCAGTGAATAGCGTTAAAGCAACTGTAGTAAAAATTAATTGCAGAGTAGTAAATGTGCTTCACAGCACGTTAGCTACCGAACATACGTAACTGTTAGCTTCATTTGCATACGCTTAATTATGCATATTAATAGCAGTTGATGATTTATGAACTGAGCTCAATTCCCCTCGCTCTGCTCCGTCTTAACATGTTTCCCTTTTTCGTTTGCTTTAGGTCCAGTGTTTTTCCTCGCTTGTTTTAGCGTTGCTGCCGGGTTCGCGTTGTTTTGGTATTGCTGCAGCTCAGGTAACCCGCGCCGGCGTTTTTTCCTCTTGGTTGCCTTTCTTTAGCCAGGAACAGGAGAGCCACGGGCCTCTTGACCTAACACGGCTTCCTTAATAGAGCGGGTCGGGGTGTCATCCTTCATTAATGAGGTCAGCGTGCAAATTGTGCTTCAGACAGGCAGAGATGTAAATAATAGATGGTTTGCCTACAAATAGGGGCTCTTTTTAAAGACAGTGAGCTCCGGTTGCTATAGCGATGGGTCATGATTCCCAGCAGCCATGAGACAGACCCAAGCCTTCTGACTTTTCCACATCCCTGGGGTGAAGCGTGACCAGCACCAGGGCCGGAGGGCACTGGCTGGATTGTGCTTCAGACAGGCAGAGATGTAAATAATAGATGGTTTGCCTACAAATAGGGGCTCTTTTTAAAGACAGTGAGCTCCGGTTGCTATAGCGATGGGTCATGATTCCCAGCAGCCATGAGACAGACCCAAGCCTTCTGACTTTTCCACATCCCTGGGGTGAAGCGTGACCAGCACCAGGGCCGGAGGGCACTGGCTGGGTTTGCTGAGCCTGAGCCCAGCCGTTGCCCCTGTGCTGGCCCTGGGTGTCAGCTGGCTGGTGCCTGAGCTCCTGCTCCTCTTCCCAGTCCCACCTTCCCCCGGCCCAGCGGCAGGGCAG